CCACGCTTACACTCTGTACGTCCCTCGGGGCTGTCTTACTTGTCTCTCTATCCTACCTCTGTCTTACCTGTCTCTCTATCATAGCTCTGTCTGTCTTACCTGTCTCTCTATCCTACCTCTGTCTGTCTTACCTGTCTCTATCCTACCTCTGTCTGTCTTACCTGTCTCTCTATCCTACCTCTGTCTGTCTTACCTGTCTCTATCCTACCTCTGTCTGTCTTACTGTCTTCTCTATCCTACCTCTGTCTGTGGGACTACTGTCGTGCTATCTACTCATGTCTGGTCTTACCTGTCTCTATATCCTACTCTGTCTTGTCTTACCTGTCTCTAATCCTACTCTGTCTGTGCTTACTGTCTGTCTATCCTACGCGTGCTGTCTGTTACCTGTCTCTTATACCTACCTCTGTCTGTCTTACGCTGTCTGTCTATCCTACCTGCTGTGGCTGCTCTTACCTGTCTCTCTATCCTCATTTTTCTTTCCCTCTGTCTGTCTTACCTGTTCTCTATCCTTACCTCTGTCTGTCTTTACCTTGTCTGTCTATCCTACTCTGTCTGTCTTACCTGTCTCTCTATGCCTACCTCTGGTCTGTCTTACCTGTCTCTTTCTATTCTACCTTCTGTCTGTTTCCTGTCTCTCTATCCTACCTCTGTCTGTCTTACCTGTCTCTCTATCCTACCTCTGTCTGTCTTACCTGTCTGTCTATCCTACCTCTGTCTGTCTTACCTCTGTCTGTCTTACTGTCTCTCTTATGCCTACTCTGTCTGACTCTTTTACCTGTCTCGCTCTATCCTACCTCTGTCTGTTCTTACCTGGTCTCTCTACTCCTTACTCTGTCTGTCTTACGTGTCTCTCTATCCTACCTCCGTGGTCTGTCTTACCTGTCTCTCTATCCTACCTCTGTCTGTCTTACCTGTCTCTCTATCCTACCTCTGTCTGTCTTACCTGTCTCTCTATCCTACCTCTGTCTGTCATATTACCTGTCTCTGTATCCTACCTCTGTTCTGTCTTACCGTCTGTCTATCCTACTCTGTCTGTCTTAACCTGTCTCTCTATTCTACCTCCGTCTGTCTTACCTGTCTCTCTATCCTACTTCGCTGGGTCTGGCTTACCTGGTCTCTACCTGTGCGGTATTACTATGTGGTGTTCCAGTGTTTCTGTGGGGATGCGTACGGTACAGCGCGCATGTCGTCGCTCTCGCGGGGTCCCAGCACCCGTATCTTCACGTTCAAGATTTGTCATCCGACATGACGCCTGCATCTGCTGATAAGCGTTCGCCGGTATTGCATGGCTGGTATTCTTCTGGCAGGTATTTCGGTGGCGGCGGCCCGGTTGTGTTGCCATCCGCTTGGCGCGTGCTCTTGTAGTGTCGCTTGTCAATGGCTGACGAGAGCGAGGTGTGCTTCTCACGCTTGTTACACAAGTCATGTCGCCACGCGGCAGATGCAATCGCTGGCGTGCTTGCGTGGTACGTGTGTAGGTGGTGTTGTGCGTGCGTGCGTGCGTGCATGTGGTGTTGTGTGTTACGTGTGTGTGTGGTTGTACGTGTGGCTGACTCGTGCGTGTGTGGGCGTGCGCGTGTGTACGTGGTATGCGGTACAGCGGTACGTGCGTCGCTGTACGGTGTGTGTTTGTCGGGCACTGGGTGTGGTGTGTAGTGCCGTAGTGGTGTGCGTACATGTGTACGTGCGTGTTCTACGTGTGGGTGTGTTGTGGTGTGTGTTGCGTTGTGTGGTACGGTGGTGTGACGTACATGTGTCCTTACGTGCGTGTGTACGTGTGGTGTGTTGTGTGGGAGCTGGGCGGGGTGTGTGCGTGTCGTGTGCGTACGTGTGTGTGGAGTCATGTGTACGTGCGTGTGTACGTGTGTGTGTTTGTGGTGTGTCGTGCGTGTGTGTGGCGTACGTGCCGGTGTGCGTGTACATGTGTACGTGCGTGTCTGTACGTGTGTGTGTTTGTGGTGTGGTGTGCGTGTGTGTGCGTAGCGTGTGTGTGCGTAATGTGGGAGGGTACTGTGCGTGTGTAGCGTGTGGTGTGTTTTGTGGTGTGTTGAGACGTCGTGTGTGCGTAGCGTGGGGGTGTGCGTACATGTGTACGTGCGTGTGTACGTGTGTTGTTGTGGTGGGGCGATGTGTGGGATGTGTGCGCCGTACGTGTAGTGCGTACATGTGTACGTGCGTTGCTGTACGTGGTGGGCATTGTGTTTGTGTGTGTGTGTGCGTGCGGATTGTTGTGCGTACGTGCGCTGGTGCGTACATGTGATATACGTGCGTGTGTTTTTTTCATTACGTGTGTGTGTTTGTGGTGTGTGTGCGTGAGATTCGGGTCAGTGGTGCGTACGTTGGTGTGGCGTACATGTAGTACGTTGCGTGCTGTACGTGTGTGTGTTCTGTGGTGTGTGTGCGTTCGTCGTGTGCGTACGTGGTGTGCGTACATGTGTACGTGCGTGTGTACGTGTGTGTGTTTGTGGTGTGTGTGCGTGTGTGTGCGTACGTGGTGTGCGTACATGTGTACGTGCGTGTGTACGTGGTGTATTATCCTGTGTTAGTGCCGCACCCCTGACGGCTGAGACGTGGTGGCGGTGTGTAGCTCACACACCTAGCGTGTCCGTGTTTGCCGAGTGTGTGTAACCTTGTAGTTCGGTTTAATCTGACAGCACGTTGCGAACGTGTCTTTATATCCACCTGGTGAGATGCTAGCAAGCTTTAGCAGAGCTATACCTAGACCTGCTTGCCATTTCGTACGCCCGCGGCAGGCAGGGCAGTATGAGAGGTAAGGTCACGAATAGAGACTATACCTATACGAGTCGTAAATACTGTTACAGCATGGCGTGTCTGTACGTATCACGCCCTATCTGTCCGATTGATGTAGTAGAGGAGATACTGAATAGGAAAAAAATGTATGTGGTCATGAATCCTGTAACAGATGTGTACAGTTACCTGTCTCCGTCATTTCTTACCGATCTCACCTGTTGTACAGTGTCACTGCGATCAGCACGTGTTCTTGTTCAGTACGAATCGAGTTGTGACTAGACGATTACTTGCTGAGTTGTGTGCCGCATTTACTGCTGCAGTTATTCCCGCCCCAGCTGTAGAAGTAACGTGGGGCCTTCACAAACTCACATAGTGAGCGAGCGTGGGGAAGGTAAACTAATCTAAACGGAGAGAAATGGAGAGATACGAACAGAGACTTTAGACGCATTCTCCCCCAAAGACCCACATTTTATTTATTATATAATAATAATTATTATTATACTCATTATTACTCGTAAGTCGTCATCAGCCATGCATAATTATTAACAAAATACATAAATATATTATGGAAAGATTACTCTCTTCCCCTTTCCGTTTCTCTTTTTCTCTCTATCTCTGCCTGCCTCTTACTGGCGAGTTCTCTTCCCTTCTAAACAATATATATTAGGGTTAATATAATGTTATGCATGCTAAACAACGCTATGTTTTTGTTTCCATAAGCTGGTGTATTTCCTGGCCGTGCCGTCAACATTCATCTTCCTTACAATCTACTCTCTGTGCAACCTGCATGTGATTAGTTGGGGGACGCGAGAAACCGAAAAAGAGAAGACAAAGGAGGAAATACTTGAAGAAAAAGAACGCCAAGAGATGATCAAAAAGGCCAAAGACGACAACAGCTGGCTAGGTGCGTACCTGTGAATACGCGTCGTTTTGTAGCTGCAAGCAGAGATTAGGAATCGAACAAGAATGTTCGGACATGTTCAAAGAGCGTCCGCGTGTAATAATTGAACTATCGTGCACTAGTGAGCACATGACCATGTAACCAATGTCGTTGCGCTCGATCACACTATTCCGGACACAATTTGAGGGTTGATTTAAATTGACGTGGGTATATACCAAATCGTATTGGTACATCTAGAATATCTTCTGTGGTAAATAATATATATATGCACTTCTTCACAAAAGTAATAACAATAACTGGTCATTTATAGGCTACTTAGGAATATCCCGCAAGACAAAGGAGAAAATGGACGCTATGTTTACGATGGGCTGTCACACGATTTGCCGTTGTATGTGCTGCTTGCACCCCGTTCAATCTAATGCATCGCCAGAGACAATGCAGCTTTTGGCTAAGGTGGGTCAGTCTACAGGTAGATAAATTCACGAGGTTATAATTTGTTTCTTCTTTAAGTGTGTTTCTCTCAATGTTCCTCATACTTTAGGGATTTCCCCATCTTTAATAGTAAAATTCTCCATGTTCGATTATCATTTAGATTGAAACCATGGACACGAATATGAAACAAATGATGGTGAAGATGGACATACCTGTTATAACTCTCGCACCACCCCAACCAAAACCAAGAGCTATTCCTGTGATATTTGAGCCTTCGACTGATGCAGATAAGCCGAGCCCTTCCACGAATCCTGGTGGGTATATGCTAGTTTTCGTATATGATGCCCTTCCCCATACCGTCGACGAATCACAGATATACAATTCTATAGTCCTGAACAGCGTCCGTTTATCTTAAAATCCTTTATACCTGAAATAGCATATATATATATATATATATACATGCATATTATACTATGTACTGGCACACTGTAAACAATACTGGCAAAATTCCGAGGATCAGCAATGTAATAACGAGTGAAAAGCGCAGCTCCTGCATAATATGTCAGGTCGTGGAGGGTTTAATGAATAGCAACATGATTATTACGCATATTTCATTGTTATTTCCATTTATTAGACGTTTATTTTATTTTCTTCAAAGATATTTACTTGGTAAGCAGGACATGGACAGCCCGTCCCTTGCCTCAAGAGCCTACGGCCCTGCTTATATTACACCAATCGCCATCTCCACCTCCTCATTGATATTGATTAAATATGCTGATGTATATGATTCCTTAACGGCAGGCCGCAATCTCAATGATTTTGTGTTTCACGTGACCGTTGTCGTTCAATCAGCAAATTGTTGCAAGCAATTGGGCGTACCGACCTACACGATATCAAAACGCGTATTTCCGCACAGGCGAAGACAGGTGGCTCTGCACGCTGCTACTGCAGCAGGGATTCAGAGTGGAGTACTCAGCAGCCGCCGACGCACTTACGTATTCACCCGAAGGTTTCTTTGAGTTCTACAACCAGCGTCGCCGATGGACGCCCTCGACTATGGCCAACGTTCTAGATCTACTCGGAGGTACAGTCTCTTGATCATCATTGCAGCGTATGTAAAAAATGAAAACACACACGTAAGACAAAGCTGCTAATTATTTCATTGTAATTAGGATATGTGAACCTATCTTATCCATACCGTGAATAATTTTGTTAGGACATTTTTAACTTAGGACAACTTTAATACCAAACGTGTGTGGACTGTTTCGTAAACATTTACACGCTAAGGTTATTTCCTATGATTACTGCTTTATGATGCATGTTAAAATTGTGAAGTCATCATACGTTAATGCGACTGTGCCGTGTGAAAAGCTTGAACCGAGCGTCATGAAACCTCTTGCATGCGGATCGCCTATTAATGCTATGATATCACGTGGCGGCTATGCCCTTGCATCCTAACGTGTTTATGGCGCTAAAGCCGTCCTAAAGCGCCGTGCATTTTGTGTCAGTCGGAAGTCTTCGCCAGATTTTCTTACTCGATTAGGAAATATTCGGCACAGCAGTCCAGTCACCGTTGCCACATTGTCCTGTATTTAAACATAATCGCGCTGCGTTCATATTATACTTCATGAGCGGCATCGGCTGGAATCCGCCGTTGCTTAAGCAATCGTGTTCTTTAAGATGCAAGCAACACGGTGAAGAAGAACACGACAGTGTCGTGGCTATACATGGTATACCAGGCCGTGCTGTTCGGCACCGCTATAATTGGACCGGGAACTGCTTTCCTAATGATATCCGGTGCTCTCGACGCTGCACTACCAGGGGTAAGAAACAGAGGATATGCAATTGTGAGAACGACATTACTTTTAATATTACCATTAATCTCTCTACGTTCTAACCACTCATGTACGCTGACGCTTCTATTTGATTATTTCCGATAATTTAATTATCATGTTAATGATAAATGTGTTATCCTGATAATGGGTATCATCACTTCTGTTATAAATAACTAAAAGGAATGGGAATATATCGCTGTTATTGTTGTGAAAAGATTTGTAATTCAATGGCTCTAATATGTAAGAGCCAATTTTTGCAGATATCACAACATATCTGTGATTATATTATCCCGTATGCGAAATAGAATATGTGTGCTCACTTTTCAGACGGAAGACAATCCGAACAGCATATATTGGTTCGTATTCCTAAATTTAGTGCCTGTGATGCTGTTCGTCATTGTCTGCTTAGTTGCTGAGTCCAGTATACAGGTAAGCACTCCCTACCTTCGGTCTCGATGTGGTAACTGATATTCTTATACCCATGCAGTTTTCGTGTACATCATTAAAAAATCATAAATTTCTTGTATATAATACTTGTAACTAGCAACTTAATTTGCATTCCATGTCTACTGGCAGTCTGCATTGTAGCGTGCTAATATTTAAGGCTGGGGAAGACGCACTCACTAGCATGATAATAATGGCCCACTGCCGGCATGATACAGCTCAAGCTTGCTGGAATTCTTACCGGAATCTACAGCCTATTGATGATGATAGTCGTTGTCGGTACCGTGGTGCAAATAGCCGAACAGGGAGCCAACTCGCCCAGTGCCGTCTTCATGTGGTTGATGCTTGGTGTTTTCGGAGGAGCCGCCATATTACACCCGAAAGAATTTTTCTGCATATTACATATAGTGAGGATTTACTTATCTCCAACTGTTCTCAATACCTCATCATAAACTCATTATTATTATTATTATTATTATTATTATTATTATTTATATTTATTATATAATAATAATTATTATTATACTCATTATTACTCGTAAGTCGTCATCAGCCATGCATAATTATTAACAAAATACATAAATATATTATGGAAAGATAGAGAAAACTTAAAGAAGAAAAAAATTATAACCTCGTGAATTTATCTACCTGTAGACTGACCCACCTTAGCCAAAAGCTGCATTGTCTCTGGCGATGCATTAGATTGAACGGGGTGCAAGCAGCACATACAACGGCAAATCGTGTGACAGCCCATCGTAAACATAGCGTCCATTTTCTCCTTTGTCTTGCCGGATATTCCTAAGTAGCCTATAAATGACCAGTTATTGTTATTACTTTTGTGAAGAAGTGCATATATATTATTTACCACAGAAGATATTCTAGATGTACCAATACGATTTGGTATATACCCACGTCAATTTAAATCAACCCTCAAATTGTGTGCGGAATAGTGTGATCGAGCGCAACGACATTGGTTACATGGTCATGTGCTCACTAGTGCACGATAGTTCGATTATTACACGCGGACGCTCTTTGAACATGTCCGAACATTCTTGTTCGATTCCTAATCTCTGCTTGCAGCTACAAAACGACGCGTATTTACAGGTACGCACCTAGCCAGCTGTTGTCGTCTTTGGCCTTTTTGATCATCTCTTGGCGTTCTTTTTCTTCAAGTATTTCCTCCTTTGTCTTCTCTTTTTCGGTTTCTCGCGTCCCCCAACTAATCACGTGCAGGTTGCACAGAGAGTAGATTGTAAGGAAGATGAATGTTGACGGCACGGCCAGGAAATACACCAGCTTATGGAAACAAAAACATAGCGTTGTTTAGCATGCATAACATTATATTAACCCTAATATATATTGTTTAGAAGGGAAGAGAACTCGCCAGTAAGAGGCAGGCAGAGATAGAGAGAAAAAGAGAAACGGAAAGGGGAAGAGAGTAAGGATGTTCCTCATACTTTAGAGATTTCCCCACC